GCAGAGCTCTCGATGTGCGGTCTTAGGAGATCGGCTAGAACTGTACAGTACTAGACGAAAATGTTTAGCAATTTCTTAAAACAAAAATGTATATAAATTAACAATAGAAAACAAAGCAAAAGTTTTATAGGTATGTAGAGCGTTAAGTTGATTCACTTGTTATTATTTTTCGCTAAACATGCTTTTAAATAAAGCATATTCTTAAATTTTAACGAGGCAATAATTTTGCAAATGGTACTGTACACTTTTGTCTAGTTCTCGCTCGATGATCGGTGGAGAAATGAGCTCCGCAGACAAATATGATTGAATTTGGAATTATGCTACGGCGCATCCTAATAAAGAAAGGGACATATCTCCAACTTCTTGAAACGAACAATACTTTATTAGCGCTTCGAATTAAAAATGGAAACGTTTTTTGACGGAAAAGAAACTCAATTTTCAGTGGGGAATCTCAAAATTCCGTTTATATTAAAGAATATAAACGCAATCGAGTCTTTGTTAACAGAAATAGATAAGCGTGATATAAAAATACTGTTTTGCAGCATGTTACAGTTTTAATAGAATCCATAAAATGTGAAGAAAACCAGCTTGCTTGAACTTTTATAGGCAAGCAATTAAAATTGCACACATCCGCTAAAGAAAGATTCCGGTGTTTGAATGATACTTTAGTTGTAACTTCTATTATTGATTCAATTAGTCATTTATTATATATATATAGTTATATATTTTTAAGAGATTTAGACTTACTGATACTTGATATTCATTAATAAAAAATTTAAGGGGAAATTTGCTTTTTCCTAAGGAAATCGTTGAAATCGTTTCATTTTCATTAGTTGTATTTGACTTAATTCTTATCGACAATGAAAAAGATTTTTTAAGAGTAAATAATAAGCGTCGATTTCTCCGCAAATGTATTTTCGAAATAATTTGTGATCATGATTTCCTGCGTTCTTTTAACGGGTGTACAATATTTTAAACATAATTATAAAATGTAATACAAATACTCTTCTTAAAAATTATTGCAGTAAGAACAACGATCGTTAACGAAAACTTCTATAAAACAGAAAATTAGCAACTTTAACCAATAAAACATAAAATAAAACAAAGACCGGAATTCCTTTAGTTCGCTTTTTAGAATTTTGTTGATATTACGTCTACAAGCTATTATTTACTATAAAAATTTAGTTTTTCTCATTACAAACATTTTTACGAAATGCAATGAAATATTCTGTTGACAAAATTTTCAAACTGAAAGTCTCTTTAAGGATGTTTGGGAGGTACAATTGGAGACAAAAGTACATAAAATTAAAAATTCGTGATTAATTAGGTTTTGCAACATAAATAGGTAAATAAATACTATATATCTATACTAAAAAAAAAGTATACGGTTTGAGAAAAAATTTGGAATTTGACCAAAAACTTTGAATAAAATAAGAAATAATGAATATGGAAAATTTTTAACTGATTTTTGGCAGTGAATATACCTTGATTTCAGCTTCAAAACACACAAATATTTAGTTTCAATCTCTATTAACAATGAGCGTAAAACTTTTTAATATGTTTAAATAATAAATAAAACTTTAAAATTGCATTTATTTCAGACAATTATAAATATTATCATTATATTATCAAGTAAAAACGAGATTTTCAGCTAATTTTTCATTTTTTCCTCGATAACCATTTAGTGAATTTGAATAACCTTACGCTAAAGTGATTCTCCAGAGTTCAAGTTACTTATTACAAAAGTTCGAAATTTCTGGTAGCCTTTTTTCTGTTAATAAAAATAAATTTAATCTGTTCGGTTAACGAATCTCCATAAAATGACGTGTAAAATTACAATTTTTTCAAATTTCAATAACTTTTTAATGGTTTAGCGAATCGGTTTGTAATTTTTACAGGAGTTTAAGAATTGAATTAGGAACGTTCTTCCAAATTTGTATTTGTCTCGTAGCATTTTGGCATACCTCACAAACATCCTTAAAAATCACAAAATATTCGAATTTCTAATCTACTTCGACTAGTGCTGACGTCACCCGTAAGTACTATAGCCTTATTATTCACGTAGGTAATGGTATAATTAGTTAGTAATCTGTTAAGTAAAACTTAACAGTCCATCTATAATGGTCGGTTCCTGTTGGAGATTAAATAGTGGTGATCTTCAACCAAAAGAAACGCACTGTATGTCAGTTGCGACTAAGAACATCTTTTTTCTATGCTATCTAACAATCTATTTAATACTTTCATAGTTTTACACTATTATGTGTTAATAGGTTAACACATACGGGCTGTCTAAACAAAATAGTAGCTACATTGTTTACTTGGCCTTGTTGTACGTATGTATGTAAGTCACACAATTTAAAGGAAGAAACGTCTCCATTGAGTGATTGCCTAAGTATGTGAATAAGAGTGACTCATCAAAGCACCGCTTAACTGAATTGAAGAGAGAAAGGAAAAAAAAAACTTTTCGGTGTTTTTATTACCACCAGCCACTAATGCTGGTAGGCGGGCAGTCCCTCCGAACTACGCCGGAATGTAGGACGGAAGGCCCTCTTCAGCCTCCTTTCAGGAATCGTGGGAATAGGGTAGTGGTGGTTCAGGTAATGAAGATGAAACAGACGAAATGAAGACAGGAGAAAATGAAAGATTATCTGTGGAATATTACTGAGTCGACATTTGCCTAAGTGATCCAAGGAAACCACAAAAAAATTTGAACTAAGGCAGACGGACCCGGAATCGAACCGGCGTCTAAACAAGTCTAAACCTCTAGGGCATGCCACTCGCTGAAGCAAAGCAGAGCCGGGCAAACTGGGCTCTTTTGACTCCCGAGTGCTCCTCAGGTATAGCCAAGGAGCTCCTCATTGATCCTGCGAGTGCGAGTGAGATGATTCTTTCCTTTTCTTATCCCTTCCATTTCGTAGGTGAGTCCCCTCTTGCATAGCCGAACCCAACAGTATTGCGAACGTAGTCCAGCATGCTACGCCTGAGCTACGGGACGATCATTAGAAAATTTCCGTAAGTATTATTTAAGTTGCGAGAGAGGCTTCACTCGTCTATGGGATGAAGGGGCTTGATATGGGAGTGGAAGGGAGAACAAACAAGGAAAGCAATATGGGTTATTACTGCTTACTCTCTCGTACTCATTGATGGGTATGGAGTGACTCAAACTAACCTCCGGTAGCGGCTCCTACGAAGTTAAAGTTTACCCGGCTCTGAGGTAAAGGAAAAAAAACTTTTGGGTGTTTCATTCCCACCAGCCACTAATGCTGGTAGGCAGGCAGTGCCTCCGGACTACGCCGGAAGACCCTCTTCAGCCTTCTTTCAGGAATGATAAGAATGGGTGATTCGAGTTAGAAAGATGAGACGGGCGAAATGAAGACAGAAGAGAATAAAAGATTATCTGCAGAATATTACTGCCCCAGCATTTACCTAAGTGATCCAAGGAAACCACAGAAAAACATGGACCAAAGCAGACGAATCCGGAATCGACCCTGCGTCCTCCCGAATGCTAAGCAAGTCTAAACCTGTAGGCCATGTAGGTCGGTGAGGTAAAGGACTCGGCTAGATCCTTATGGAAAATGGTACTCTGTCAAACTCTTTGAAACTTTAATTTGATTCTGGTAGTTCTGGGTGTGTAGATCAAAAGTCTCAATGGGTGCTAAGTCGCAAAAATTAACCTACTTTAGATATGGTCCCTTAAAGTTGCTTACGTAAGGACTTCCAAAGTACAAGTACAATTATACTATAAATATTCAATCGGTACATCCATGTATACACGTATATGTTAATGTATTATACATATGTGTATTTCATATTATAGATGTGTCATGGTTTCGAACCAAGGAGTGGTAATGCACTCTGCAAAAGTGCAGTACACATTAACGTCTTATGATACTTAGGGATGTACCCAGAGGTATAATTAAATATAACATGTAATACACATAGGTATAGGTATAATACATCAACATATGTATATATACTTCAATAATACTTCATATACGTATAATAGATGTAATTGTACCTTGGAAGTCCTTATTGATGAATGCAATTTTAAGGGACCACCTCAAAAAGATGAGTTTTTACGACTTAGCGCCCATTCAGACTTTTAATCTACACGTCGAGATATACCAGAATCTAAAGCTTCAAAGGGTTTGACAAAGAGTCATTTTCCATAAGGATCTAGCAGGGTCTTTTTGAATGATTCATCGAGTGGTATGCATAATGTTTAGTGTTTAAAACAGTTTCACATTTTTAAATTATGAATTCCATTATTTGAAAGTCATAAAAATGTGAACAGATTTTCTAACATAAGTAATTATGAACACCTCTCTCTTATTGAGAATCTTTTCAACAGCACGTAATGAAGCCAAATTTAATATTCAATATGTTATCCCAAAAATTTACGACTATCGACATATTTGTCCCTTATAATGACATTGTTTAGAGCGACGCTTTTGAAGAAGTATACGTCCTAAAACGTCCCACAAATATTTCTATTTATCAATGACATTTGAATTATTACAAATAGCACTATGAACGCCGTCTACTGCAGAATGCTACATTTTGCAGGATTCATAAACATCCTTAAATATTTGCGAACAGTAACCTAATCTAGGTCTACCTCTACTCCTCTTAACTCCTGTTTCTGCCTCTAATATGTCTCTAACTACACCATCATGTCTCAGTAGCCCTACCAACCTACTAAAGTAATCGTTCGCGAGCATAGAAGTTACTTCCTTTTATTGAAGGCGACTCGACTCGCGCTATCCTGTGTTTTATATCCCTACTACTCCTTCGGTCATGACTCATCTGACTTCCTAGATACCTAGATACTGTCAGCCACTTCTTCTTTCGTCTCCTATCTTTTCCTACTTTTTCTATCCCTTGATAACAGTATTTTTGTTTTCCATTTTATTTAAAACACATTATAATCAAATAATTAACAAAAAACGTAAAGTAACAATTTACCTTGTGACATTATAACAGATTTATCATTATCTTACCTTTTCAATGGAGGATGCTTTGTACCATTCGCCACCAATTTCGATTTGGACCGGTCGCTGATACTTGTTGGTGTCATGGAACTATGACTAGCAGTTGTGTTAGTAGCATCGCTAGCAAAACTGCACACACTGTTTTCCTTGCTGATCACGTTGTTACCTGTCGTGCCATTACCGTTCACGTATGTACCGAAAGTCAAGTGTAAATGCGTTTTTCCGGGAACGGGAGGCGGTTTTTCATCAGTCGGAATCATATATGACAACATATTGACGATCACTTTACCTTTTACCTTTTCTTATCACCAATAACAAAAAAAATCACAGATATTTTAACCACATACGGACATAATGTCTGACAAACACTCAACACGAAACTTTAAGTTGATATTAGCTTGAAATCCTGCAGGTAGTCATCTTCTAAGCAGATGAACCTAAAAAAAAAAGAAGTACGCATTATACCAGAGCAGGTAATTGATTGTAATGTGTTTATATAGCTGGTAAATAAAAAAAGGGGACTAGACCACTGAAAAGAAGTTAAAATCGAAATAATTAGTAGCTTAGATTGTGTTGGGGGCGACTATAGAAAAGACCTCTCATCTTTAGATTCAAAAAAGAATTTTCGCTTCATTGTTTTATTTAAATATTAAAGTTGAAGAAGTAGTCGCTATAGGTCACAGAAAATGATGATATACAGGGAAACCCCCTGCAATAAAATTTTCGCATTTCCCTAAAACCAGAACATCCCATATCCTTAACTATTTGCGAACAGTAATCTAATCTAGGTCTACCTCTACTCCTCTTAATTCCTGTTTCTGCCTCTAAAATGTCTCTAATTAGACCTTCACGCCTGAGAAGGTGTCGTACCAATGTATCTCGCCTATTTCTTAACTTAACTTCCATAGAGTTCTCTGTTCTCCTATTCTTTCTAATACCTCTTCATTTCTAACCTTTTCTATCTGCGGTATCCTCATCATTCACCGGTAACACCACATTTCGTATGCCTCTAACCTTTTCTTTTCCGCCGCGCCCACTGTGCATGTTTCGCACCCGTATAGCGCCGCTTTATATCCCTACTGCTCCTTCCGTCCTGACTTATCTGACTTCCTAGAGGCCTAAAATCAGTCACTTCTTCTAATCTATCGTCTCCTATCTTTATATTCGCTCTTTCCCTACCTTTTCCTCCCTTACATACTAGTTTTGTTTTTTTTTTTGTTTTACTTTTATTTGTTTTCATACAAAACTATTTTGTCCATACCGCTTCAATTTTTACATTTAAAGCTATCTCTAACTTCTCCTTGCTAGATGCTAATACTAGGTATTATATCATCTGCTAAGGTAAGCATACTAATCTTTTGCTCCTCTATATCTATCGCTACAGTTGTTAAATTCAATCAACAAATAAAAAATTGTTATAATTTATAAAAAATCATTTCAAATTTATCAAGCTATCGTTATAATATGAGTTTTCCAATGCTAAAAAGAAGAGCGTTGTTGGTGTAATGGTTTTTGCGAAATCCTATTTATTTATTTACTTTGCTAGGGGAAAAATCAGCACAAACGCCAGGTTTTTTTATCAAAGATTCCAGTTCATTTCAGAATTATTCATGAGAGACGAATGAAGTTAGAATTGGAGAAAGTGAGGTCGGAGCGCGTCACTGTTTAGAGCAGCGTTTTCCAAACTGGATGGCGCGGACTAGTTTAAGAGACGCAATTTGATAAACTTTGCACTAATAGACAAGCATAAACATTTCATTAAACGACAATAATAAAATATTGTTATTCATTTTTTCTTGTGTACAAAAGTTTAACTTAAAAAATTGTTTATTACTAAAAATTTTTTTATAGAATTCTTACAAGAGATATGACTAAATATTTTTAGGGGAGCCATGGTAAAATAAAGTTTGGAAACCACTGGTTTAGAGCTCGAGGTGCCACAAAGGATGGAGATGCTTGAGCATTCTCAACTGCGACAGAATCAAATTGATCTTAAAATCATCGTAGAACCCCCTTTTTTTATTCCGGGACGCCTTTGATTGAAAATAACAACTACTGTATTTTTATGTCAATATTTCAGAAAAACTACTTTTTCCGCCGTAATATTGTTTATATAAGAAATTATGAGTGCTGTCAAAACAGAGCAAAATAGTATTACGTAGTTACTATCAGCAATTTCTTATGCTAAAGTGTACAATGTGTTGCATACGTATTTACAAACAATTCCTTAATTTTAATTTTTCAAACAATTTTTAACAGAAAGAAAGTGATTAAAAAAATTGTTCACAAAAATGATTTTCGACCACTCGAAGCAATAGTGCTAACAGTTTCGAGCTCACAGTGACTGATAGGGGGGAAGAACTAGTTTATATAATAAAACTTAAAATAGTTTATCTCTAAAATTATGCAAGTTATCGACATTATATATAAAAGAAATTATTAGTGCCGTCAGCACAGGGCAAAGTGGTATTACGTAGTTAGTATCAGCAATTTCTTATGGTGAAGTGTACGATGTGTTGCATACCTATTTACAAACAATTGCTTTAATTTAATTTTTCAAACAATTTTTAACACAAAGAAAGTGATTAAAAAAATTGTGCTAACGGATTCCAGCTCAACAACTTGGTGTAAACAAAATAAAATGCATTTTTATAAATGCAACTTTTTAATACTAATCTAAAAGCCTAACTTAATATTTTTACGTGACTGGTTAGGTTCACTCCAACCCATTCAACCCAACCCAACCTAACCGAACCGAACTTGATGCTTTTATTTCATTGTTTTATTTATAGTTAAGATCAGAAAAAATTTATTATTGATGACATTTGTTTTTCGAAATCGAGTGTGCGTGGGAAGACACTGCAGTAGAAGACGACGCTTTAGCCACATTTACCGTCATTAGAATTAAGTGGAATTAACCTTACAATTTGTATTGTTTATTGTAATTTAGTTTGGCCAATTACTATTATTTAATAGCGTTCTGGAACAATTGGGAATGACTGTTTACACCAAGGACGTTGTTCTAATTTAAGAGAGCATGTTAACCTAGCGCAGTATTTTTTTTTTTCAAAACCTCTCACCTTGGCGTTTGTAATACGGTCTCAATAATTATTAAAATGTAACATACGTACGCGAATTATACTTAAATTGCTAGTTTAGTGTATGGAAATTAATTAACGAAAATCCGTCCAAAAAAATCGCTTTAAATTCTATGATGTTTTTGAGATGTTTGAGATATAAAAAAGTAGTACTGTTAGGGTTTTTCTTATTTACGATTGTGTACCTTTTTGTACGGGCATTACACGTTATTGTAATGCAACGTGATGAAGATGTGATAAAANGATAAATGTGTTGCTAAACGCAAAAGGCGAGAATCGCTGAACCAATTTCGATAATTTTTTTTTAAATATTCCTTGAAGACCAAGGAAGGTTCTCATGAAAAAAAAAATTGGAAAAATTGCCCATAAGAACGTAAAAACCTGACTTTTCTTTTCCCATCCAAACCACAGAGGAAAAAAAAACATCTGTCCGCAGCTGTCAAACATTTGACGTTAATCAAAACACACCAAAGGACCATGTTTCGCACCCATACAGCGCCGTTCTCCACACATACACCTTTATCAATTTTCTTTTTCGATAATCTTTCGAATTTCTAAATTAACCGTTCGCAAACCTAGAAGTGACATCTTTTTACTGAAGGCGACTCGACCCTGCGCTATACTCTGCTTTATTATATCCCTGCTACTTCTTCCGTCCTGACTTAGCTGACTTCCTAGATACTTAAAATCAGTCACTTCTTCTAATTTTTCGTCTCCTATCTTTATATTCGCTCTTTCCCTACTTTTTGTTCCCTTGCATAGTACTTAGCAGTTTTGTTTTACTTTTAATTATTTTCATACAGTACTGTTTCGTCAATACCGCTTCCATTTTATTTAAAGCTATCTCTAACTCCTCCTTGCTAGATGCTGATACTGCTATATCATCTGCAAATCTAAGCATACTAATCTTTTGCCCCTGTATTTCCATCTCTACAGTTGTAATACGTTAATGATTTTTTTTACTGTAAGATTTTTCAGAAGTTATAGACGAGAAACTTTTTCGAATACATCAACACATTTAGGTAAAAAGACTTCTGGAACTAATTCTTTTATTTTGAAATTACGCATTCATTGGCATAGGCCATAATATTCATAACATAAATATGTATCGCGACTGTTTTTTAGAAAGATTATAAGCCAATAATTTTCTTCGTTCGATACTTTCTGATTTATTGCGGTGTATGTCGGTGAAGCCATCATTACATTAGATAAATATTTCTTTTAGTATGAAAATTATGAAAAAATTACAATCACTTTATGAATTATAAAAGCCATTCGTTATAGCTCATAATAATCAAACAAAAATTCCGATTTTGAACTACTAATTAACTAATTGGTTGTAGCTATGCGGAATAAAGTAACAGAAACTGGATTAATCAGTTGGTAAAAAATAAAATGTTTAATTGCAACGGCCTCAATTATTCAACTAATAAAGTTCAATTAATTGGTTAAGCTTACTTATTTACTACCTACATTTAATGCATATGATCTGGCAGCTCTCCAGTTGACTAGCCTTTTAAGCAGCAACAACAACTATGAAATTATACCGCTAATTTTTACATGGGATTCTCTTTATTGCATATCTTGTGCCCTCTTATAATTTAGGGCACGTGAATGAGTAAGTGTAAAGAAATGCACATTCTTTTCAGCACAAAACAACAATTTCTTCATACAAACGTTAATCTATACATCGAAGACGCGATCAACATCATAAAAGACAACAGAACTGTAGGAATAGATATACAGGGGCAAAAGATTAGTATGCTTAGATTTGCAGATGATATAGCAGTATTAGCATCTAGCAAGGAGGAGTTAGAGATGGCTTTAAACAAAATGGAAACGATACTGACAAAACAATATTGTATAAAAATTAATAAAAGTAAAACAAAAATACAGGTATGCAAGAGATGAAAAAGTAGGGAAAGAGCGAATATAAAGGTAGGAGACGAAAAATTAGAAGTGACTGATTTTCGATATTTAGGCAGTCAGATAACTCAAGATGGAAGGAACAGTAGAGATATATAACAGAAGATACCGTAGGGTTGAGTCGCCTTCAACAAAAAGAAATTGTTAAATTGTATGTTTGGAGCACGGCACTGAACAGGTGGGAAACATAGACGATGGGTGCGGTGGAAAAGAAAAGGTTAGAAGCGTTCGAAATGCACGAATGTTGAGGATACCGTGAATAGAGAAGGCTAGAAATGAAGAGGTATTAGAAGAACAAATGACTCTATAGAAGTCAATAAGACATAGGCGAGATAGGTACAACACCTTCTCAGACTTAAAGATCTAGTCAGAGACATATAAGAGGCAGAAATAGGAGTTAAGAGGAGTACAGG